TCTTTGGTTTGGCCCAACAATTTAAAGTCGTCTTTGACGCATTACTTTGGCAGTATTGCCGGCTTTCGAGCTTTAACTTAAAACTACTAATTGCACTTGTGCACATTAACCTCCTTCTGCTAACTTAACAAGTTGGGCCAGCCATTAACTAATATTTCATTAATTGCACCATTTTACCACAAATATACCTCTGAACGGCTTTATCCAAGCCACTTCGAAATTCGCCAATGGCAATAATTTTGAAGGTTGGTCTTCGCTATAATTTAAATTATGTCTTGTGAAAATGTCTAGCTTTGACTTGTTCATACCGTATTACTAAGATTCTTGCTAGTATTTTAAACCCGAACTAACCGTTTATTCCGTTATATTACAGTATAACCCCCGGTATTCACCTCTCGTCTCGTGTGTCATCTCGCTTCTTGCCTCCGGTGCTGCCAGTGTACACTACCTGTTCTGCATTGTACTTTGTTTAATTTAAGGTTAGAAGTGGAAACTGCGTTACTGTCATATCTTGTGCCATTGAATTGGAATTGCTGAATATAATAGTTTAAAGTCATTTCAAGTATTCCTACATCATTTTAATTTAGATCTTTTGTCTCTAATTTCAGTTTCGTGAACATCAGCCTCTACAGTTCTTGACAGACTGCACTGATGTCCAAGTTTCTTTCGTTTCTATTTCAATAAAAATTATTAGCTGTTATATTCGTATAAATTCCTTACAATGCAGAGATGCGAAACCGAAAAAAATCGCAATGGCGCTCGATGATTCATTCTATATAATCAACCATTGAAAATAAAAATAATTTAAAATGGAATAAAAATATTGGAAATTTATTATTTTAAAAGTTTACTGTCAAGTCAAGAGACGAGCTGGTTTCTTATTATTGTTAAAATTTCTCAGGAAGAAATAAATCGATTCAAGATGAATTTCAATTGTAATGATATGAGGAATTAAATCTGTAATGATTAAAGTTTAAAAAAATCGCGTGCAAGTGACTTTAAAGTTTTTCCTTCTGAGTTTCGATCAACTTTGTTAAGTAAATTAATCACTAGCAAACCAGCTTTGTTATGTTGGTGGCCTCATTAGTATTGGCTCATGTTGCAATACATCATTAGGTATTCGCTCATGTTGCATTGGAAAGTTAATAATATGTTCGGAAGCTCGGGATGTATAATAATGATGTTACCTGATCTCCCGCCTCCTACACAACGCGGCTGCTGAGAATTCCAGAGGAGAGGAACATGACGCGACGGCTGATAAACATGATAAACGAAGAACATTCCTGATGATGGAACTTCGTCGGTCCAGCAGCGGCTGGACCGACGAAGAGCCTAAAAAGAAAACCAAAGAGTATTGACAAGGTATTTGTTTACGTGACAACCAATATTCCTGTCATGAATCTTGGAAAAAACTTCATATGACATACTAATGAGAAAGCATGAAGCATGTGAAGGGATACATAATGATCTACGTTAAACATGTTATCAATACTCTTTCTTTCACAAGGAACGGTTGATTGTTGTGAGAAAAGGCAAAATTTTATACAATAGTCTATTTTGTATCCTATTGATACAAAAGTGAAGCATTAAAGGAATGCATGGTTCAAGTCTTCTGTTGCTTTGGCCTTTAAAAAACAGTCTTTATGGAACTTATGCAACCAGAAAAATGAATGATGCTCTGTTCAAATAGCTATGCATTTTTTACCTTGTGTTATCTTGACACGCGTTGACTCAGCAGTAAGGCGTATATATCAGTGTTGCGTTCACAATGTCGGTGACTATTGGTGTGTGCATGAGTTGACTGCCCCGTTTATTTATTTGAGTGTATCATTTCATTCATTGTAACACAGTTATTGTAGGCACTGTTTGGGTTTCAGTTTTTTTTTTCAAAAAGCTATTGGGGAAAATCATACTTTATATAAATTTTATGAAGGAATTTGTAGGATCATGCACTTGTTTAGGTCTCAGTTTTTTTTCAGAAAAGCTATTGGGAAAACCATACTTGATATAAATGTTATGAATAAATTTGTAAAATCTTGTACCTGTTTGGGTGTCATTTTTTTCAAAAAGCTACTGGAGAAAAATAATACTCTATGTAAATTTTGTAAATCAATTTTTAGAATCTTGCACTTGTTTGGGTGTCATTTTTTTCAAAAAGCTACTGGAGAAAAATAATACTCTATATAAATTTTGTAAATAAATTTTTAGAGTGTTGCTCTTGTTTCCTTTAAAGCTAATCGGGAAAAATAATACTTTATATAAATTTTGCAAAGAAATATTTAGAATCTTGCACCAGGTAGGGTAGTGAGTAAATGTTGCTGAAAACTTGTCTTACTCAGCTGCTCCCGAATATCCGAGTTACGGAGCTAGAATTGCCTGAATAAATCATGCCGAGATGAATCTATACAATTGAATTCCATAACTTTTATTCATACAGCAGGTTTGTTTTTAAATGAAAGCTATCAGGTCCTAGAAAACTAGAAATTTATTTAACAATTTTGCCAGTTCTTTTATTTATAATATCACAAATGCTGCCGTAATTTATAAATGGCAAAACAAATTCCGATGCTGGCTCGGAAAAGAACAAACTTATTACAAAAGTAATGGCAATCTGAATAAAAAATTATAGGGTAAAACTGGCACACATAACATGAATAAGTACACGAGAAATTAGGCATTTAAACGAAATATATAACAATCAACGATATATGCGGAGGAATAGGCTACCGAATATTACGAGCTTAATGGAACCAATTCCGAATATTTTTTCGTGAAAAAATCCGAATATTTTTGTTTTGATGAAACAACCATATCATGAACGCTGTTATTTTAATGCCTCGAACTTTATGATATATACATTTCAGAATTTTATTTCAGCGCGATGTTGTTGAGAGCCGCTAACACTTCGGAATGCAAACTTTTTTACTAAGCTCAATCCTGGGAGATTATAAAATTTTGCGGACCACGCACTGTGCCAATTTCTTTTCCGTCCAGTAGTTGTGTGAGCCCCGGATGCTCCTGCGGTTGTGAACAAACAACTTTGCTTCAACAAATATTTCCTGTCAAAACTTCAATTCCTGCAAATAAAAAAAATCCAAGCCATGAAACTTGTTAATCCGATCTACGAGGTTTAGATCACACGATTCTGAGGAAAACGCTGACTTTTTCAGTAAAATTTTTAGCGTTTGATCATTCATTGCTGAAGAACTGTAAAGAGGAAGAAAATTATATATGAGTAAATTTTCAGTGAATGTTATATGAGACTTTTAAAATAAGTGCGTTAGGCGTCACGTTATACATATTATCATCTTGTTTCCAAGCCCAAAGTTTTTTTAACCTCAACTAGGTGGCTTTCAAAAAAATAACCTCAAGTTTATGAGCGATATTTCGACGCAATTAATTAATACTTATTTACCTTTGAGCTAAAATGCGATAAGAATTTTACCTAAAACTATTAACGAGCCAGTGGAAATCATTGAAAGCTAAATTGAAATTAGATAAACACTTTTTCATGCTGGTTTACGACTGAAGTTCCGTATTGGTAGGATCATTGTCCGTTTGTATCTTATGAAATTAAGAATACGACATCATTGGCTTAATAATCGACTTGGTGAACGCAAATTGGGGAAATAAGTTAAATCAGATTCAATTTTTTTAAAACTAGATAAGAACAAAAGGCTTGTCTATCTGAGATTTTTGAGAAGAATGCTTGCTTGAATTTAAAATTGAATTCAAGTCTCTTGAAGCATCTCTCCGAAATTCCTGCTACTTTCGTTATTTGATGAAATTTAAAATTCTGTTGATAAAAGTTTTAGCAAAGAAGCAAAGCTAACAAACTGCGTGTTGTTGTTCAATCGACAAATTTTGTGTATAGTGCATGGCTTTCTATCGACATCTGTGACAAGCTAGCCACCCTGACAATTCACAGTCAGGACATTAGTCGATTATCAGTTTATAGAATAGTAGCAAGTTAATTAGAGCGGCATGGCAAGTTAGCTCGGCGGGTCAATTCGGCGCTGTTTGAGAGGACAGATATCATAAAAAAGATAGCAGATATTCGAAATAAGAAGATATTCATACCGTTTTAGAGATCATTATCGAATAACATTGCTAAAATACTAATGTAAATCATTAGTGAATTATTATATGCCAGCAATTCCGCAAGTGCGGATGATAGTATTAGAGTACTAGAAGGTAAACAAGTATATATATAAGTGACTGAAAGTCTGAACAAAAATAGATTGCGGGGTTAGAATGAAAATAGTTGTCACATACGTATTAAATCACAGTTAGTCATGAAGGCCGTTATCAAGTTCACAAAGAGAGCACGATCATTTATTTTGAGATGACATTGACTAGTTTAGATTTATTGCGTGGCATTATCACGAGTTTTTGAACAGATTTAATCTCAGTGTTGATGTTAATCCAATCACCGACTTGCAGAGAATCGACCAGAGTCTTTGGCGCAAGCTGGTAGGCGTCAAGCTCATTGCGCTGAATAAATAACATTCTGCTGATGTCAGATGGCTAGAATTATAAAAAATTCGTTCCTGTTAGTCTTTAGCAGATTATGAATTTAAAAAGACTAGTGTTGCTTCTACAATCAGAATCTACATTGATGATAAACATTTGAAAAAAATATTATATGAAGTAACAACCGGAAAATGCACTCATTAAGAGAAATTTTTTTGCTTACTTCTGCAAGTGAAAAAAATTATACTTTAGTTGATGGTTTAGGCTGTCTTAATTAGACAGGCATGAGCAATCAACAGCTCAATATGTAGTAGTATGCAGACGCTATAGGTGTAGATGATGCATGAAGTTATGAATAAATTTTCGACCGTTTTAGTGAGTGAAATTCTTAAATTGAACAAAGGCAGCGGGGGATTTTTCAAATTTAATAATATATTTTAGTCACTTGCGAATACTTTACTTGCGGAACTACTTAAATTAGACTATAGATATAATTATATTATATAAATATAATTTTTTACAGCGTTATTTCATTTTAATTAGAAAAGATGATGATTGTGATCGTTTTTCACTGAGGATGACCACTCGTCAGCCACATCAGGAATAATTGTGATGATATTTAGCTTCAAATATAATTTTAGTTTAAATTTCCATTTGAAAACCGCGTAAAACAGGAAGAAAATCAGCAGGTCCACTGCAAAAGTTTCGCCCCCTATTGGGACTCTTACCGGAAGACATTAAAAAATATTCTCGTTCGAATCGTAAATTTTCCAGCAACGTATTAGATTTTTTCCTTCAATTCAAGAGTCTCTTGCGTACGAGATTCATGTTTAACGCTTATCTTCGATCAGTAAAGATGTCATGCAGTTTTCAAGTACACAATTCGATAGTTTCTTCGTTTTTATTGACAATGCTGTTGTCGGAAAAATTATGGAACTTTTTATAAGACACTGAAGCCGCTATGACTTTTCGCATTCATTGTTGTCTGTTTTCTCAGCATCTAAGTTTGCCGCGCAGTTCATTCCTTAGGGGCTGCGTTCGTAGCTTTTACTGTACTAAGAAGACATTGACAGGTGAAAATTTTTTGAAGCTTTATTTGGTCAACTTCGTTACTACATATTTTGTCTCGACGCCGGCATATTGAGAAATGGAAACTGGATCTGATACACATTCATATACCAAATTAAAACATCGAATGAATCAAACATCCATATAAGTTACCAGCAA